ACTACGCGTAACTGTAACAGTTTCGTCAATTATATTTTAATGTACAGCCCAAATAAAAAATATTCGTTAAAAACTAGGGAAAAGAACTATTATTAAGAACCGAATAACGTAATTTTCCTAAAGTCATGTAATTTTTTTTATGTTATTTAAAGGACGAAATTAACAAGCCAGCGTTATTTGGGTCAATTAATTAATATTATTTATTTATCTTTGGGTTTATTTAATAGTATTCTTGTACGGTAGTAACATGACGAGTTTTTTATGAAATAGTTTGATAAATTATGTAGATTGTGTGACGGCCGACAGCTTACTTACCTTCAGGTATTGTACGAGTATTGTACAGTAACAAATGATGCTACTGTCAAATGATAAATATTAATTCTGCCTTATAAATTAATTTATATAAGACGTATTGATATTAAATCCTATCTTATGAATTATACATGATATATTTAATAACCAACCAGCACTGGACCAGCGTGGTTGACTATGGCCTAGTCACCCTTAATTTTGGGTAGGTTCTGAGCCCCTTAACAGGGACGTAGACTGAGCTGATGATGATGATATTTAATATTATATATAGCGAAGACTTTGGAATTCTTTGTTCCTTAGACCAATGGGCCACCAATAGTGCATATATCTAAATACGCTTAGAGTATCCAAACGAACAATTAAATATTTTTTTTTAATTTTTTCCCTCTGGTATAAAATATGTTTAAAAAAATAAAACGATTAATAACTAATAACAAGTTTGTTCTGTAATGATGAACAAAAAATCAACGCAATAAATCTTAATTTATTTTTAAGGAAGTTCGGAAGATGTTAGTGTTAGTAAAAATTAATGCCTCTGATGTAGCCTTGTCGGAAACCTTCTCTTGGCAATCTAAATTTTTAAATGAGACCTTTAAACAATCATATTACCTTTCTGAATTTAATATTACAATTTGATATACGTATAAAAATAAACTACAGTGTGCAGTTCACTGCTATGATAGTTTAGTAAATGATAGTAGATTTATTAAATTAAAAGAGATATAAACAAAATAATAGTGCTTCGCTTAAAATTGTGCTGTGCCTTTCTCCGTTTATACGAGAGAAAACATGAACATGGAATAAACAAAATTAATTTATGATGTACATAATAATATTCTCTCTCCTTACTCATTAAATTATGAATAACGTTTTTAAATAGTATCTTCGAATAAAAAAGGAAGTTATCATTATTATTACTAATATGTGAACACTCCTTAGTACAGCAGTAATATAATTTTGATTGAATTTTAATTTGCAAAACATTGCGCCTCACGAAAAGTAAGGTTCGATGGGTCATTGCCCTCAGTCGGGTTTGTGTGGTGTCCGAATGTGCATGGCCTTATGCAATAATAATCCGGTTTTGGCCAACGTTCCCGCCATATTTTTTGTATTTAACATTTCATGTTTTTGTTCTTTTGTTGTTGTTGTTTGAAACGTCTCGAAGGTTGCGACGTATAGTTCATTTCGTTAGACCATGAGGTTATGTCGACGAAACCTGTAAATTTTCGTTATAACTTAAAAAGAGAAAACTATAATAATTTAAAACTAAAGTAATTAACTATTAATTAAATATTAATATAATAACATTTTATGTATTATATCATTTGAAATACCTCTTAGATATTCAACAATACGTCGGCTGATACTTTGTATTTTCGCTAAAACCATTTAATATCTTGAACTGTTTAATATTTATTAGGTTTGAAGATTCTTAGTAATTTTAAAACAATTTTATGGTGACAGTCATCCAATTTAGTTGATATATCATACCTATAATATTAAAACTAGTACTTATTAGACTGTTGAAATTCATCGATACTTAGCTACAATGAGTCATCAGATAATATGAAGCAAAAACGTTTTCAACACACCGTACAAACGATAGACAAAAAACGCAGTAAAAATGCCATGACCTTAACAGGTTTATTCTCATGGAAGTATGTATTCGTATTTTGATTCTAAATCTTTGAACAGGTCTGAAGTTGTTGAATTTCTAAATATTCTTTGAGCTTTCACAGAGTTCTAATATGGAAAGTATCAAGACAACTGTGTTAATATATTTACGTCGTGAAAGTCTTGTCGGTTGAAACATCTACATATATATGTATGTATATACATATACGTATGTTTATTTATTCTTAAATATTACAAAATAAAGACACAATCACAAGGTCTGCCTGCCTGCCTACCGGTAAACTATGAAAACCGATGTCAATGAAAGGTTTTCATTAAGGCTTTGTGGGAATTTGCTGAAATATGACTTTGATTCTTGAAGAGGTTAAGCAGGAACGACAGAAAAATACATCGTTTCTGAATGCATTCCTTCTGTGCACAAAAAACTATATAATGCGAGGTTGTCCTAAATCAGTTTTTGCCGAAGGGGAGTGGTTATAGGCAGTAACGCGCACGTCGTGTCGCAAAAATAAATAACATTTTTATATTTACAAAAGTTGATTTACAGTCCGGCGGAGCGGGTATGATTCGCGACACGTACGTGCACCCATAGCTACAAACATGAAAATATATAAATGTGTATGTAGTACACGTATACATAAGTAGATAAATATACATACTTCACTTTATTACCAAATGATTCCTATTGTGAAGATGATGACTTGGATTCGACCCTATTAAATCGTATTGTAGACGTTTTTGTTACAGTCGATCGATGTTATTACAAAATAGCATTTCGATTTCTTATTGCCAGTTAATCAGCATTTAACATCACATTGCTTCATAATTAAGCGATAGCTTATAAATATTTTTGGAACATTAATACTCCCAAAAGATCTGAATAACTTAAATTGCAATTATTAATCGCATAAAACGTCACGAGAACCTTAATGATTAAGTTTTTCAATGTGATACGGAACCCTTTGTTTCTTAATTATTACATCGTTCCAGTTGTATTATGGCAGGTATAATAACGAGCTCACGTAGGACATGTGCCACACAAAGACCGCCTGATGTTTCGTTGTTTTTGTTGTGCTTTGCATTTCAGAGGTACTTCTAGTTATTGTCAGTGCGACAACTAACTTGCGAGTCTTATATAGATGATATGATAATTTACATTTTGTAGGAAAAACATCAGGTCGATATTTAAATTGATTTGTGCAACATTATGTTTGATTTAAGTATGTAAAGTAAATTGTCAATATTTTTGATTCATATATTAAGTCCAAAAGTAGATGCTTCAAATTTAATAACATGTATATTTGGACGTATGTGTATGTGTTGGAGCATTATGTTTTTAGAAAATTTTTAAAGGCTATTTCAATAATAGACTCATTAAATGCTTCGGATTTTAAATGACAAGCGCCTACATAATTTGTAAGAAGCGTAAAGTACTGATGAGTTGTCTTTGTATAGAAGGCGCTTTTGCTAGATTTCCCGCAAAATATCAGTTTATCTTCAATTCTTATTTCTCGATTACAAAATTGAAAGGCCCATTTTGTTCTGGCTTGCACAGAATTTATTACTCTTAACTTGAAAATGCTTTGATCGTTACATGCACAAAGGTAATGTAGTCGTTTGTTATTGAAAGAAATAAATATTGTCATGTGTTGTAGTGATATAATGATTTATATCACATTAAAGAATTTGAAAGTGGCTCTTTTGTTTGCACAGTCGCTAACTGTCCTGAATTGTGTGTATTGAATGAGAGCTGAGTGTAGGTGCGCATAGCGGTACACTCGTGAGTGAATACAAGAAATGTGATGTTAGTGGGTCAGGACAGATCATTGCTCATTAACCGAATCTAACTGTATTTAATGATAACCTCCATATTGTCTTTAATACCGTGAATACGTTGACTTGGTGGAACGACTTAAATGATGAATGATAGATGGACCTGATAGGCAAAAAACTGATGTGCCGACCCGACCCCACATAAAGTAAGATTAGGACAAAGAGATGTTAGTAATGTACATATTTATATTTCTCGTCAAAGAATATTTACCTATAAAACAAACATTTTATATTGTTATGCTTTCTCTTTAACGTTGCTACCTATTTTTCTTTGTAAGTAGCGGCACGGTCGTAGATTGTATGCTGCCATTAATAATTATATGTTGAATATTGCAAAGAAAATGTTCAATAATTCAAACTTTATTTTTTTAACTGTTAATGACTAAAAATTTTGTCTTAAATTGTTTTGGTAAAGGCTTTATCACTACGATATACAGTCTAAAATTGACATAGTTTAACGAATGTTTGATCAAGTTTTCTTCGCAATAGAAATTATGTTCAAACCATGTCATATAAGTGATCATAGGGTTGGTTTAAACATTTGAGTAACCCCCGTGACATGGATAGAGGCATATTACATTGTTCCCATTACAACATGATAAGGTCTAATTATTGTAATGTTGGTTGTGCCCCGTTCGTGTTTACACGCAACTTGAAGTTAGCTTGGATAAAATTAAAGACACCAGTATTGTATTGTAGTAAACAATGCGTGTACGCTTCACCATTTTTTGTTCACTACAACTTTATATGGCGCAGAAGAATTTTCCTCAGTATTGACTATGCGCGAAATCTCACGGTTCAAAAACAGCTTATTATCAAGTTATTTCTAAGAAATATTAAGATTCAAATTAGGTAATAATTGTCGTTGAATAATTTCTTATGTTGGTAGCATTAAAATGTTCCTTTGTTTTGGAGTAAATCTTGAGAATGCTTTAAAAAAGATATAGCATATTGTAATATGTAAATACTTACAGTTCCATTTACATATTATATTGTTCTTAACATTTAAAACTACAACATTGGATCGTCCCCCATTTTATGTTAGGTCATTGCCGATGCCAGACGTTTAGATACATCGAATTGAAAGTCAAATATTTAAAATAACAAAAAGAAACCTTGTGTAAACGACGTAATGTGTACCTAGTATAGTAAATAGAAGCAAAAAATAAATTATTTTAGATATGTTTTTGAATATGACATTTATGAAATCAAACGAGTTGTAAATATTAATTAATCATGTAATAAAATTAACAAGCTATAACTTAAGAAGTTTTAAATTACATGTAGATACTCTGCCTTTGTTCCGAAGCCGCACAAATAATGGCGTAAAACGAGCGTCCCATCACAGCCACTTCAAATAAATAACATAAACAGTCTGTTTGTTGTAATGCACACGCGCGAGATGCGCCGCGCCGGGTTCTTCTTGAGCAATGCCGCCGCAGCCTTGACATTTGATAGCGTCTCGGCCTAGGTGCGCAGCCGCTAGCCGCTAGCCCCAGCGGCGAAGCCTGTTGTACCGCGGCACAGGTAGGTAGGGGTACCGCGCCGGTACCCGCACGTTCTCCAGGTTATAGCCTCGGCGCTGGCGCACTAACGCCACCCCATCCTCGCTATCTCTAAGCTTCGACGGTCTCACTATCCTCACGACATTGGATTCTAATATAACGTTGTCTGCAGCCAGGGCTTCCTCCGGTCTTAGTTTGGTCACCAGCTTCCCTTTGCTCCTAAGAGAGTTGAGATAGTCTTCGCTGAGTACGTAGTCAAATATCTTAGGCACCTGGTTGTACCTAGTGCCATCAATTTCTCTCTGGAAGCCGGCGCGCTCGCGGGGCGGCGCGGCGAGTGCGTGCGCGGTGAGCGCGAGGACGAGCGTGAGGGAGGCGTGCATGTTGCGCCGCGGGCCGACAGCTTGTGGTGCGCGCGACCATCACACTTTTTATATATAAGTATGCGAACGATCGATACCATTCGTTCCTAATTTGACTGGATGTTTTTTTGTCTGTTTTTATTATCTCCGGTCTTGAACTTCACATTGTATGGGACGGAGATGTGAACGCGCATGGACCGGTGCTTCGCATGTTATGTTCGATCGCTGTACTCGCTATGTAATTTATCTTAACTATTTTGAACCAATTTATAATTAAAGATTGAACAGTTTGTAAGAAGTATGACTTACAAATAAGAAAAGTGTATAAAGAATAGACACAAGCGATACCGCCTACCCTAACGGTTATAATTCTAAGCAGTTACTGAAGGTTTCATTAGTTTGGTTTCTAGCTTATCAAAGGAAAGCACGAGGTGTATTTACACGAGTTTAATTTACAACAGATTGATGAGCGACAAAAAGTGCAGCTTGAAGAACAATGTAATGTGATATAATGCGAGCAAGTTTCATGTATGAATGTAGAAATGACAAGTAAATCGCGCATGGGTGAACGAACTGCTTGTAATAATCTGTTTGATTTTCGGGATAGCGTACTTTGTTTTTGTAAGACTTTCATCGAACACATTTGAGGCATAAATGAACATGAACGTTCATGAACCTTGTTCCACTTGCGCGGCCGACTCGGCGACTCAGCGACTAGCTGCGCAAGGTGACTATCACGCGGTTGTGGTTGCATGTTATCACGGCTTGAGCTCTAATCATGAGGTTAATATATTACTAACGAACTGCTAAAGCAATTCCTACCTTATTCATACATCGTACGAGTGTCGACTTAAATGCTTATTTCAACATTTGTATATCAAATTTATGGCGGTACATGAATTTAATACACATATTGCTGCTATGTTTCAGTAATTTGGATCGTTTATCTTTCCACACTTAAATCCTACATTTTGTCAGTAATTATAAACGTAATTATTTAATTACTATCAAAAATGACGAATAAAATTAACCTATTCTTCGGAGCTTTTTATGAGGATTGTATGTTTGATTATTTTATCATTATGTACTTTACACTTACATATATCGGAATGAACTTTATGGTGATTTTTGACATGAATAATTCAATAGTGAAATTGCTACATGCTAATAAAATGCAAGTTTTATAGCTCACCAATGAAGCTTTTTACGAATCAGTTTTAAATTATTATTTATACCTTGTATATAAAATAAAGATCCTTTTTATTGTGGAGCATTATACGACTTAAGGCGCGTTGAACAAAGCAAACAAAAATCGATTAAGGCAATGCCCTGAGGTTACTGTAAACTCATGTGATAACAGTACGCAGCCAAAACCGCTATTGCCAACTGTATTTATTTCGGATGATTGAACTCTAAGTACACAAACTCTCAAAATAGTACTTTTTTATTTTCTGTTCTGAAAATGAATGCTTAAAGATGAATATGTATTTTTTCCAGGAAAGTATGGTTTCTGGGTAATACTAATCCGTTATGTTTGCTTAAAAACTAGATTAATTTCATTTATATTCATAAAGTGTGCCATTTGATTCTTATTATTCTCTCTCCTCGTACAATGAGGTAATAGAGAATGAGATTGAGAGAGAATAGAGCTTATTGGGTTTTAAATTTTCTTTGTTTAATATCGTATTGAGAAAGTAGCACAGCTCGTTTGTCGACGGAGCTGAGTCTCTGTGGCGTACTTTCTCCATCGAAACTGTATAAATCAGAAATGATATTTTTTTAAGTTAAATTTTCAAAAATATATTTTTTTTAAATGTATCAAAAAGCACGCTTTTACGGACGCACTTTAAAATATTATAATAATAATTCTATTTTTAATTTTACGTAACTGAAAAAAGCTATTTATTTCAACAAGTTAATATTAAAACTGATATTACGTTCATGTTTTAAAACGAAATTAGTTTAACATACTGTTAACGTCTCATCGCATTTACCGTATATGTTAAATATAATTCGTGTGTTGGTCATAATTACATCAAATTACACAAACTGCACGAGCCGTCCAAGGATGTTGTTTATTAACATCAAAATATGTTAAATGGACGAATTATTTAAATCACCGTAATAATTTTTATTAGTAAACAAATATCAGTACTATGATAGAATTGAGTAAAATTTGGTTATTTCTAATTAAAGCTTATGTTAAGAGAAAGTTTGCTCCAAAGTTTAATCTTGACATCGCGAGTACTGAACGCCAAGTATCTTTTGTTATAATTCCGTAATTATTTTTTTTTATCTGTGCATTTCTTTTGTGTTAGTTTCCGATTGTTTTAATCATTTTCTCAAATAATATCGAACCCAAGAAAAAAGAAGTATCGATACACATTTTTTATTCGGTTGGTAAAATGATATAACTTGTTTTAAATCTTTTCGGCGGGATGTTGGCAATAGAGAAGAGGATTGTACGGATATAATGTATTTCCGACTTTAAATTTATTCCGGTTTAATTTTTTTCTGCGCACTACCGGAACAAATATTCATGAAGAACGTTCAAGATTTATTTAAGCTTTAATGAACATAATAGGCTGCAAAATTTTTACTATAACAAATATAATATTTAAAGAAATACTGAGCAACCAATTAAAAGTTTGTTGTAGAGGTAGTGATTGGGTCAAAGTGTCTAATATTCTAGAAAAGCGATGGACCATTAAACACATTTTCACAATGATGTGCATATTATGCAGATGAGTTAAAAACGAACATGATTCGGAAGTGACTGCGTTTTCCATAAGAGATTTTAAAAGGAATACCTATTTACTATTTATCTTTTATTAATCAAAGAGTGTAGTAGCAATTAAACTAATATTTTACAACAAAAAAGGATTAAAATCATTTTGAAAGTAAAGTTGAAAGCAATAAATCATTTGACAGAACGATAGTTTTTAATCTGTCCAGAGACAATAGTTTAAATTGAGATTACATGTATTAGGAATCGAATTCTAAAGCAGTAAAGCGTTAAACTGGGACTTAAACTATGGCTCATAAATTTTTGGTTATAATATTAACGGAAACAAGATCAGACGGAAGTGGTTGAGGTGGGCTTGTACGTGTGTTGTATTGCGAGAGGCCTGGATATAATCAAGGACCATTCGTTTGAAACATTTCGAAATGGCGTTATATATTTTTTTTTACCTCCGTATCGTTTGAATGTTTAATATTGAGTTCATTGCCTGGTTGCAAAAGAAATCTTGACGATGAGAATTATAAGATGTTAGTTTTCATAATAGTTTTATCTTTATGCCGAAATATAATATAAATTTAAATTCTTGTCTATTTCGCAATATGAATGTATGTTCAAGTTATGGTACATTCAAAATCTAATGCATGGTTTGGGTGAAAATAATAATACAAAAACATATTATACATATTGTATATTTACGCAATAATTACTATGTTATTAACAAAAACAAAGAATGTAATATAGTAATATTGAAACTGCAATAAATTTGCATTAGTTTATCACGTATTGTATTTTTTAATCATGAATTTAATTTAGTTAATTTTTTGCAGTACGGGTGAATGGCTTTTATATTACATCTGAGATCTGAGACGTAACAAGTAGAGGGAATAAATTGAAGTCACAATGACTTTGTAGAGGGGTCTGACTTTTTGATTAAAACTTAATTGTATGCTTTTAATAAGAACATACGAGTTTTTATGATCTTTATTACGCTTTGATATTTAAATTATTTAACTTCTACTATTTTTATTACATGATTTTGTTCGTGATTCGTTTTAATCAAGTTTTAATGTTTACGAAGTCGTGTTCCTTACATATATTCATATTATTTTTGATGTTATAGTGTGGGTCTTCAGTTTAAAATTATTCACTTAATATTTTTTTATCCTTTTTATTTTATGTTTAGTTTTTAATACAATTTTTTTGTCAAAAGATTTAGAAACATGCATTTTTTTTAGTATAAAAGACTGACCTATTTATTATTTTTTTTGCATGGAGCCTGAAAAATTACATATAATTAAGCAACATTTTTTACAGTCCTGTTATGTACTATTAAAATCACCAAGTATAATTTATAATAATATTTAAAAAAAACATTTTAATACATAATACCTTTTTTTATATCATAAAGTGGCAAACGAGCAAGCGGCCACCTGAAATCGCTGAAATAGCGAAGTGAAATCTTTTGAATAATTGAGAAATAAGACATAACCAACCAGCAGTTACGATTTAAAGACATAATTCGGTCAACGTTACATGTACAATTTTTAGTAGGCATAAGTAATAGTCGGCTAACGACACCACACCAAGGTTAATGGACAATACAACTGAGTGCCATCTTCCGCGTCCAAACCGTTCCGCATTAATCACGACTTCATCCTACGAATATTAAATATACACAGCCAAATCTGATTCTTTCAATACCATCCTTTGTTTATGCTTATATAGCACAAAGTGTAGTTGAATAAATTATTCAAAACTAGCTGACCTGCTTTGCTTTAAAAAAGTGCAGTTAAAGTTAGTGCAAAAAGTTTTATTAAATACTAGCAGTCGCCAGCGACTCCGTCCGCGCGTAATTAAATATAAACTGAATTTAATGTTAAATCTGTTCCAAATTTCATTAGGATCCGTTGAGTCGTTCTGAAGATACATGCATCCATACAAACATTTGCATTTATTAAGTTAGTAAGGGTGAAAATCACCCTTCAAACTCTCTTTTTCTCTTACAACTTATTTGATAGATGTGGCCAGTATTAAAACTGAAGGTTTAAGACCTATATAAACTAAAAAGAAAACTGTTTTTTTGTAACTTTTGACAAGTTTCAAGTTTTAATTTTTTAAAATAAAATATGTTAAGTGTCTGTGCCGTTTTGCTAAAAATGTGTAAGCACTTATCACGAAGTCACGACAATACGAATGATGGATTTAACATATTTAACATAATCTGATCTATACCTTTTTGAGAACTATTGAGTTTTTTACCGGGCTCAAATGGCAGTATTATGTCAATACTTTGCC